TTAATGAGACACTTGGCTTGCCATACCAAACCACCTTCGTCTCGCTCAGGAACTCCTGGAGCAAACGTCAAATCAGCTGCATTTCACAGCATCGCCCAGGAAAAATGCGGCTGATTTGACCATTAAAGTGCATTTATTACAGAAAGTTTTAACTGAGACACACCTTTACTATAATGTCAAGCAAACAAATAATTGTTTTAGGTGGTTGTCTTGGTAAATTTCTAAGAAATGCACAGCAAATCCTCCCTCTGAGCGCTCCCGCAGCCGCTAATCGGTTTTTGAAATGCAGCTGATTTGACCAATAAAGTGCATTTATTAAGGAAAAGTTAAACTGAGACACACTTTTGCTATAATTTTGAAAACAACAAATAATTGTTTTTAAGTGTTAATCTTGTTAATTTCTTATTAAAGTCCTCCCGTGCACGCTCGCACGGCCGCCACTTGTCAGCCAATCGATTTTTGGCAAATTGGCCCACGTTTCCGGGTGGTCAGTGGTGATGCATAATAGATGCAGCTTATGTAGCAAAGCAACTTATTTATGTTTTTTCCCCACTTTATTAGACATACAGTATTTGGACTGATGCAGCTTATACGGTGGTGCGACTTATACGACGGTGCAACGTGTACGGCAGAAAGTACGGTGCATAGATTTAAAAACTGTATCGTCTTTCCTTCCTTCTGCATTAAAGTTAGCAAGCAGTCAAGCTGAAAAAGCTCCATTGTTTTACAAAACCTGATTACCAGAATTTTTGGAAAACCCTTCATCCCTTTTGGATTTCTGACATACTTTGTTCATTCAACCTTTATTTAAACAGATTGTCAGGATGTTCTCCGATAAAAAAAAACTGTTTTCTTCTAGACTTGTGTTTAATGTGGAGCTGAGATTTAACAGGTGAGCAACCTGTGAGAGTTAAGTCATGTTCACAAATAAAATGATAACTTTTACGAGTGTAATTGCCAACTTTTGTGCAAAGGAGTGCTCATTTCAGTTATGAAGATGAATTTGAGAGGCTACAACAAGCTTCAATGACTGATTGTAATAGTAATACAAGTGGTAAAGTCAAAAACAAAGTAGGCCTGAGTCAGAAGGCAATTATTTCATTTATTGAGTTAATTTCAAAAAGCCTCTAATTTACGATGCCACATTAAAACATCTGAAAGTCTCTTATTTTAATAACACTAGCTGGCCACTCCTTTGAAATCTTTCTGGAGTTCCTGCTTTCTGCGTCTCCAAGTTTCTGATGACGTCTTGTCTTGTATTAAAAAAAAAAGAAAAAGTTTTTGTTTTTTTTAAGTGGGTTTCAATGTTTTGAAGGACATTGTTCAAATGGAATGAGCTTCAATCGATATCTTCACAAAACCTTCCTTAGAAGGCTCCATGTTGCTCTGAAAACTGTTGTCTTGCTGTCGTTTTCTAGGAATCCCATTTGTGATCTTTACTCTGCACAGCAGTCAGCCACAACAATGACACCAGGTGCCTGTTACTGTGGAGCTCAGTCTGCCAGAACTGAAACGCATGGAAATAAAGAACACATGAATCCTAGAACCTGCTCCATTTACGCCTTGGTTTTATTGTTTCAACTGACTTCGCTTCAGCTTTCAGGTCGAAACTTTGTATAATTAGGATTTTTACCAGAGATGTTGAGTTGACAAAAGAAAACAACAGATTCAAAAGGAAATATTTGCAGCTGTTCAACAAGTCAGCTTTTGAGTGATGGGACTGATTGCTGCAGAGCTTTTTCAGATGGTCATTAGTCATCACATTGTTTGGGTCTGATGCCGAAGCTCTTTGTCATGAAACTCCAAAATAAATCTAATTGTGGTCTTTTTGACGTCAAAAATGATTTTTAAATTCCACCAATCTGTGGATATGGTAAGAGAACGAGTCAAACAGAAGTAGATTACAAATACTGACCGAATCGAAGAGTTTCACTTTGTAGAGTTTCATTAATTATTTGTACATGCGCGTGTGTGTGTGTGTTTGTGTGTACAGGATCAGAAGAAGATGACATTCAGGTCTCTGATGAAAGCTATCGTGAACATGCCAAGCCACTACCGCTGCCTGTGCATCAGCCATCTGCTGGGATGGACAGCTTTCCTCTGCAACATGCTCTTCTTTACCGATTTCATGGGACAGGTCTGTTAGAATCTGAGCTTCACTTTACGCAGCTTACAAAAATAAATAAATACAGTAGTCCCTTGTTTATCGTTGGGGGGCTAGGGACCCCGTACCCCCCCCCCCCCCCCCGTGATAAGTGAAAACCCGCAAAGTAGAAATACAGTAGTCCAAGTTCAAGTCAACTAAACTTTATTTTCAACAAAATTAAGTACACTAGTAGTAGTAGTAAGTAGTAATTTATTTTTGTATATATATATACAGGTATATATTAAGGTGTTTTAAACCCTTCCCACACCCTTGCAATGTCCCTAACAATTTTCTAAACTCTAAATGCTCTAAAAGGGCACAGCATGTCATGATCTCAGCTCTCTGCCACCTGCAGCGCTCTTGGCCATGCCCACTTCTCCGCCGCGAAGCGGAGATCTGACACGCTGCAGGAGGAAGTTTATCCTGAAGCTGTGAGCTGCACACAAGTGAATATTAATAATAATACTTTAATTGTTATTAACACCGTCACAATCTGTTTATTTCTTAGAGTTTTCTAGTCAGACCAAACGAGATTTGAAAAATGTCACTCTTATGTATATAGAAATATATTTTTATTTTTCAAACAAATTTTTTAAACATGCTTGTAAAAGCAGAATAATTTACAAAAGACCAATCAAAAATTATGTGAAACTTTTTTTTTTGAATAAGCAAATTAACAAAATAAACTTAATAATAAGACAGTCATATTAATTCAAACTGTTCTGCAATATTTTTAAATTTACTTTTCAATTATCAGCAAAGTTATCTAGGATTTAAAAAAAGATAGGCTAACCTTTGCTTTAGGAAACCCCAGTCACTAGATTATCTTAATAACAATAATGAGACATTTATTTTCACAATTAATAAACAGATCTAAAACACAAATCTAAACTTTTGTAAAACAATTTATTTCCTGAGTTTCTACAACGACTAAAACAATGTATTGTTAATACAGCTCCTGTTCATGTCAAATTAAGCCAATTTTAAATTCAAAATTTCAACACAACTGGCCGTTCTTTAAAAAATAAAAAGGTTTTAAGGTATTTATAAGTAAAGCAAATTTATTTGACATTGTTCTTTAAAGTGAAACTGCATATTGATAGGTAAGGACTTTTAAGGACAATAACTTACTTTTAGAAGCTGTAGAGTTAATATTTAGTCATGACTAAATCACAGGACTGACAACAACTTTGAGTCCATGTTTGGGTTTAAATCCACATTTTTAAAACAGAACATGAGATCTATGTTGCTACATGATGACAAATCCTCCATTATGATGTTGCCTGCTTGAAACTTTTAGAGGCGGCTCAAATTGCTTTGTTCAGGTTTTGATGAAATTCTGTTTTAAGTAAAAAAAAAAAAAAAAATAGAAAACTAAACCAGGAGACGTAAACCAGCATACGTGATGAAGAAAGAAACGGAAAAATTATAGTACACTGACCACTGAGCCATTTAGGAGAACATGTTCACATTATTCACACAAGATATACCTAACTAAAGATTGTATTAGCATTTCTCCAAGAGGCTTGAGAAGAGGTGGAAAAAAATCATAATGTTAAAGTTTTTATTTAAATATATGCACATATATTTTTTGATTCCAAGTAAAGCAAGTTCAGAACACTGCTGCATAGAAATTCATTTCACACAGTATGTACAAAATAAAATAAAAAAAACTCTTGAATAAATGATGTCAACGGACCGAGAACGACTTTATGTGTCGTGCATTGTTAGATTATCAGGGGTCGTTTTCATCGAACATGCAGATTCTTTTTTAGAAGCAAAAGCCCGAAGCAAGTATTAAAGGAGCTTGGGACATTCTCAGAGGCAGACTCTTCGGTGGGTTGTATTAATGATCTCGTACTCCAGTTGTGTCGTGCACAGACTGAGTATGGATGGGTTATTTTTGTGAACAACACACTGGCTGCCCATTAAGCCTGTACCACAGAGCTGCGGCCGTTTGTAGCAAGTACCAAAATGTATTGCAAGCTCTCGATTTACTGGTCCATGTTTCAACCCTCGTGTAAGGTCAAGTCAAGTCAGATTTATTTATATAGCACATTTAAAACAGAAACTGTTACCAAAGTGCAGAACAAAAAGATCACAGCATCAAATACAAAGTAACAAGATATTTTTTACAGCACATGGAATAAAAGTATAAAACATAATTAGAAACATTGAAATACTAAATCAGATCACCTTGTATCAAATGTCAAGGAATAATAACAAAAAGCGTCAACTCGGTCAGAAAGAGAGAAATAGTAAATCAGATCAGTTGACCCTGTGTTAAAGATTGTTATAATTAATTAAGCACTCCCGTCCTCTTTGTACTGTTTTAAATTTGCACTGGAGGTAGACGCCACTCGTTTTCACCGTTTGCTGTGAAAGCATCCACTCAATTACACATTAATGAAATGAAGCTGTAAATACTGTATGTCTCATGTCAGAAGGGGAGAAAAACAAATTGACAGTGAGGTGAAGAACAGAACGTTGTGATTCCAGTTTAATGGCACTTGTGTAGAGGCTGATGGTGGGGACAGTAGTTCTGTTCTTGTGTGACATGTAATAATGATAAATGCTTTGAGGCGTCAAAGTGAACATGCTCATTAAAGGATCCACATCATGCTCTGACTATATTTACCCCCTCTGTTCATCAACCACAGATTCACTGGTTTTGATTATCTCCAGTTGGAGGTGTTGTTATCAGGAGCAAGTTCTGTAGCTGCTATTGTTTTAAAAGAAATGAAACAAACACAGGAGGTGGTTAATTTCATATTAACATTGTTAAGTTTCTGCATTCTGAGGCACAGTCTGCTCAACAATGAATATTTTGAGGTATTATTCTGTAGGCAGCACGGTGGCACAGTGGGTAGAGCTGCTGCCTCTCAGCGAGCAGCTTGTCAGTTTTTTTGTTTTTTGTCCCGGTATTCCAGTTTCCTCCAACAGACCAAAAACATGCATGTTAGACTATTTTTTTCAAAAGAGCCATATAGACAGATCAAAGTTAAGGGGAGAACTGTGATATCACTCCAAATCACTCAAATAAAAGAATAAAATGAAACAGCCCATCTATGAACAACAAAAAGAAACACAGCCAGCACATTATCTGTTTAAACAAAATGTATCTTAGTTCTGAGATGAGCGGAAGCTGTGGTGCAGGTCCTTGACTTTCTTCAGGTTGTGTTTGTAATTTGTTGTTGGAACCATAATGAGGCGTTCAAGATGGGCATGGGTCAGTGGGTTTCTCTGTTTTTGCTTGATAGTGTTAATGGTTGGAAATGTTGACTCACAGGTGTAAAAATTCAGCTTTTATTACCCCAATCCCACGTAGAAAACACAAGTCAACAATAACAATGAACACCAAAGTCCATAATAAACAATGAATATGCTGTAATATGTGTACGGATGAAGATGCCCCCTTCACATTTCCGCCTGCCCCCTCATGTAACCATGCCTAGAACCGGCCC